TATATATATATATATCACCCATTCTGCACTCATTTATATTTCAAAATATAACCTGCAAACATAAGATCAAACCCATTCATTCTCTTTCTCACAATTAAAACATAGCAGTATACACAATCTTATGCATTTTTAAATTCATTTGATCATTAATCAATTAGATCAATAGCAGATGGTTAATGAAAACTTTGATCTCACGAAAAGAATAAAACATATTTGCAAAATGTAAAGTAAGAATCACTTAATTATACCCATGGACTGCTCATGACATGTATAGCGCAACACATCGTAAAATCAAGTATGGAAGTGACCAGAAAGGTTGGTTTAACAATTAATCAGGTTATCGGTGCAATAGTGGATAGTTCAGTACGATTGCACTGATGTAACTCGATGCGGTGAGCTACAAAAAACTTATTGATCAATAATGGTTAACATCAAGTCAACTAAGGACCTTTGTCAATAAAAGTGGTTAAATCATCAAGGGAGGAGCCACATCATCATTATTCAAAAGCGGGCACTTTTACTAGCACATAACATGACATGGCCTAAACCTGCCAAGAGAGAGTAGTCTCCAAAATTAGGCACATAGGAGTGGATAAGCTTCTTATTGTCTCCCATTACCGCTCCTTAATTCTTTCCTTGATTTTTTTTCTAATTATCATGACAGGTAGATCTCACGGGACTGCCTGCAGGAAAGGGTTTTCCGGCCAGCTAGGATGGAATCACTTGCTCAGATACCATGTAGGTTAGGAGAATAAAGCAGGATAATATTATTCCCATTGAAAGTCGTATAAAAATAAGAAACAAAAATTCTAAAATAGGAAAAGAATAATACATAAATCTCTACCTAATAACTCCTCAATGATAAATGAAAAATAATAAAATAAGAAATACACCAAATAGTAAATAACTGGAAATGAAATCGAATAATTCTAACATATCATTTAGTTTATCCTATTTTAAAGATTGAATGAATCACTTATTTAAGAATTACGCTGAAGCTAACAACATATATAAAATAAGAGACCTTTATGATATAATTCACGGCTTAACACTTGACCTCAAAGTTTCTCTCCACACACATTGCATCCACAGGCGCACACACAAACACACAAACACTCCCTCTCTCTCCCTCTCACTATCTCTCAATCCATCAGCCACCATACAACTTTAACTGTTGAGATTTGTATCTAATATAGAGTCTACACACAAACACACAAACACTCCCTCTCTCTCCCTCCATCAGCCACCATACAACTTTAAATGTTGAGATTTGTATCTAATATAGAGTCCTATTTTGTAAATAAAAGATGTCTAGGGATTTATTTGAAAATGATGTAAGGCTCTATATAAGCCTAACCATTAATGAAATGGGTAAGTTTTCAAGAGAAATTACTTCTTTATGGTATCAAAGACCTAACTGAATTCATCTGACGGGATCAAGTGCACAAACCCAAAGCTTACTCTTCGTCCTCGCAAAACTGGATGAAGCAGCCAATTATGAGTTCAGGATTGTGGCTTACAAAGAAGAAAGCAGAGGCAATTCGCTTTGTCTTGTGGGACAACGAGGAGAGGTATTGTTTTGAGATTGGACGGTAGAAGATCAAAACGGCAAAGATTGAGAGAGTGAAGTTGGGGGGTGATCGTCGCTTGCAGTTAGGGCCCCGCAACACAGGGAGGATTGAGCCCGCAACACAGTAAGGAGTGAAGCTGAGAAACAAACGAGCCTAAAGGCATTGGCGGGCCAGTTTGCACGAAAGGTAGGAATAGTGAGGCTTCAACTCATACGACTTCAGATGGAATGAGAGAATGATAGCTCAATCTTATGATTGAGGATGTCACAAGAGCGAGATAGTGAGGGAGGTGAAGGCTTGTAGCTTCTGTATAAGATAGATCCTGAAGTTTTGAAGGTCTTGGTCAGACTATTACATGGAGCTAGCGTCTCAACGAGAGCCACCACCTTAGCATGTACTCTGACGCAGGTGAAGTTAGATATCTCTCCAGTGGATTTGAAACTCGATGGATTAGCCACGTATCCGAGTTGGTCACGTTGGATCGAGGCTGCTCTAATAGGGAAGAAACTAAAGGGATATATGATGGGGGACGAGCCAAAGAGTGACAGTGTTGAGGGGATTGAGTGGAAGACCACACACGCCTTGCTTTACACAATGCTAATCAACTCAATAGTTTTGTCCATTGTCTTATCCGTAGATAACATTCAAAAGGTCAAGGACATCTGGACAAAGCTAAAGAAGACCTATGCTGGGAGTGAAAGCTATATGAGAGTATTTCGGATTCAACGTAACATAGAGGTAGTGGTACAGGGTGATATATCAATTCAGGAGTACTCTATAGAGCTAGAGCGGCTGTGGCAAGATCTTTATCACTTCTCACCTATGTCAAGTTGTGGTGAACCGGGTGCAAGAAGAGGGAGATCTTTGCACATGTGAATTATGCAGTTTTTGGCACATGTGAACCAGACCTTTAATCAGAGGATATAGGTCCTCCTAAGCCAATGATTCTTTCACTGGATGAGGTCATCACCTCAATGATACAAGAGGAGAGTCGCATGAGGCTACACTTTGAGTGAGCGGACTTCCAGGTACATGATCAGCTTTGGCTACCTCGAGCTCGGGAATGACAGGTGCCCAGGGGAGACCCACAGATGCTATAACTGTGGAGAAGTAGGACATCTGAACAAAGCTTGTCCAAAATCACCCAAGGAGAGAAAGAGATGGATGGACATAAATAGTCTAGAGGTCGTGATCATAAACGTGGGGGTCAAAAGAGTAGAAGAGGGGGTCATCGGGCAAATCTAAAGGTAGCGGAGAATGAGCGAGAAACAAGGTTAATCTTTACCGATGAGGATCACAAGCTCTTAGAAATATTGAAAAGGAAGTAGAGACTGATATGTGATGTGATTGAGAAAGCAATCACCTTATCGTCATTCAAGGATAACACTGTTACTTATGCTCACTCAGACAAAGATACTCGTGATACACATGATTTTGCTTCTATATTTACTAAAAGATCACAAAAATGAATAGTAAATTCTGGTGCATCTCGACATGTGACAGGTGCTGCTAGTGAGTTCACTTTATGTACTCACCTAACAATTATAGAGAGCATTCAGGTTGCTGATGGTATAACATAACCTATGATTGGTAAACGTACAGTGAGGTGTACCAATTTTATGATTATGCCCAATATTTTGCATGTTCCTTCCTTTCCACCGAACATTTTATTCATTAGTATCATTATACTTCAACTAAATTGTGTTGTTTTATTTAATATTCCTAAAGTGATCTTTCAAGAGAAGGAGACTAGCCAGAGACTTGAGACTGACACATAGCATAGTGGACTCTGATACTTGGATAGAAAGGGGATAAACTCAGTCTTGACATCCATGGTAAAGAGTATTAGAGTGGGAGAATCTGGGAGGAGTGTGGAGGATGTGTTGTTGCTACATCACAAACACATGTGACACTCCCCGCTTAGTCTATTGAGTCGTTTATATTTGTCTTTATATGAAAAGATAAATAAACAAAAACTTTTGTGTAATGTTTGTCAATTTGGTAAGCACGCCACGATTCAATATGGTGTGGTAGTGAAGGTATTTAGGTTTAATAATGAGACAATGCATACCAACATGACAATTGGGGAGTACTTGTCAGCCAAAGGAATAAAACATCAAACCACGTGTCCATACACATCGACACAAAATAGAGTAGCAAATAGGAAGAATAGACAACTTCTAGAAATATCCAGAAGTATGAAGATCTTGATGAATATCGCAAAGCACTTGTGGGAGTAAGTTGTTTTGACAGCCGCTCAATTGATCAGTAGAATGCCCTCAAGAGTGCTGAAGTGATGATCTCGTTGTGAATTGTTAAAAGGAAATAATGGTGGGATCCTTTCATCAAAGAAATTTGGTTGGATATGTTTTGTTAAGAATAATGGATCATCAATAAGGAAGTTGGATCCCAGAGTTGTGAAGAGTA